GTGTTGATGGCCATTATAGACAGATGGACAGATAGATAGATGGACCAGTTAACATGGACCAACAATCTCACCAGTGTTGCAGGATCACCACGGTTGCCTTTTTTGCAATACATGCGTTCCTGTCTTCCGTCTTTGAATTATTGCAAGTGTGAACTGAGCAAAACAAAATCCTTACTGTACGGGAGAAACCGTACTACCATTCAGCCCCGTAACATTCTTTCCATAGGGGAAACTTTGGTCGCTCTGCGGGACGGGATAAAATTATCCGATCGGAATAAAATTTTGCACACATCCTTGTGTCATAGTATCGACAAGATTTCCGACCCGGCCCGACGAATCCGACAAACTTTTCCAAAATGGACCACCCTACTCCACCCGCTTTATTTATATGGACATGGAACACTGTAACCTTCCACACAAAATAGTTTCAAACAAGTAACAATTGCGTCAGTGGCATACATCGTATTTGACAGGCTGCCTGCTCTTTATTCAGCAGAGGCTCATCAACCTAGTCTCTTATTTTTCTCCTGAAACAGTGTCTTCTCCCGCTTGGTATCCCTTAGCCTTCTCCGCTACGTACAATCTCTACACAGCTTGTAATGGTGGCTCTCGCTGGCAATCTGTAGTGGAGTCGTTAGATCCAATGCGAATGATTTCATCTTGAGTCGAGCTGTGGACAATGTTGACACGCTTGCATGCAGTATCCATACATTTAGCTATGGCTTCAGCAAATTTGTTCTTCGTCGTGTCATCCATTTTCTTCGCTTTGAAATGATCCATACTGTCTGTCTGAGACGAGGGGGCGGAGTACTCACATCAGCTGTGTGCTTGGCCATTAAGTGGTATTTCAGACTCGACGTGCAATGATGATAGCTCAGTTTACGACTGCAAAACATGCAGCTAACCTTGGTCTTGTCAGTGGAGCAATCTGGCAACTTTTTAAAAGTAAACTTTCCATTCATAAATTTTTTTTTTCCCTTCATTGAAATTAAACTTTTTATAAAAATAATCAGACTGGTTCACGTTTGTCTTTTGTCATTTTTAATTTCCTTCAGATTAATCCTGACAGTGTTGTAGGGAAACAGGATCTTTTACTCTGATGTGCCAAACTTTGAGAACCCTTTACAGCGGAAAGCCACCCCCCCCCACCCCCAATCCCCTACCAAAGCACCCCTTAATAATACTAATGCTATTTAAACCATCTGTGTTCCTGACTGATCTTAGTTGCTTATGTTTGAAGGGGAAGACGTTGAAATGCCACAATGACAAATTCATTTCTAAGGGGAAAAATTGATATGTATCATTGGATTTTTTTTTTTTTGTTGCTACAGAGAGCAATATACAAATAGTAAAATACTGATATACGTTTTTTGTTTTAGTAAATATTGTGTGTGTGTATGTATATGTGTGTGTGTGTGTGTGTGTGTATATATATATATATATATATACACACACACTCACCGGCCACTTTATTTGGTGAAGCGGTTCGGAAAATTATATATATATAATTTTCTGAACCGCTTCATTCTCACTAGGGTCGCGGGGGGTGCGGGGGGTGCTCCCAGCTGTCTTCGGGCAGTAGGCGGGGGACACCCTGAATCGGTTGCGAGTTCTGCACAGTATCCTTGCTGTTCCCAGCACTGCGCTTTTCTGCTGAGATGTCTGAGATGTCCGATGTTGTTCCCGGGATCTGTTGCAACCACTCATCTAATTTGGGAGTGACTGCTCCTCGTGCTCCGATCACCACAGTCACTACTGTCACCTTTACGTTCCAGGCTCTTTCCAGCTCCTCTCTGAGCCCTTGGTATTTCTCTAATTTCTCGTGTTCCTTCTTTCTGATGTTTCCGTCACTTGGGACCGCTACATCCACTACAACGGCTTTCCTCTGCCCTTTATCTATGATCACAATATCTGGTTGGTTCGCCATTACCATCTTGTCAGTCTGTATCTGGAAGTCCCACAGGATCTTTGCTCGGTCATTTTCCACCACCTTTGGAGGTGTTTCCCATTTTGACCTTGGTGTTTCCAGTCCATACTCCGCACAGATGTTTCGGTAGACTATGCCAGCCACCTGGTTATGGCATTCCATGTAGGCTTTCCCTGCCAGCATCTTACACCCTGCAGTTATGTGTTGGATTGTCTCAGGTGCCTATTATTGTAATTATTATAAAACACTCACCAGGATTGTTATTTCTTCAAAGCGCTTCTCTAGCCTTGGAGAAAATTCGCCACAAGATTCAACTCGGCTTACACAGGTAGAAGTTCAAAGACCAGCTTTTGTTTATCCAAAGCCGTTTCTCCTTCGACTCGCATGGTAAAGCGCTAGAGCAAGGTGGGCAAACTATGGCCCACGGGCCGGATCCCGCCCATTGGTCTTTTTAATCCGGCCCGCCGAAGCTTGGTACAGAATTAAGGTTCGATGTGAATGATTGCATAAAATTAATTTGGACTTGTAATGACAGGTATTTCAACGCCAGGCGGCGCAGTTACTTGAAGTTGCAGAGCACAGGGAGGAAGGTGGAGATGAAGAGAGAGGGGGAGAGATAGAGGGAGAAATCTTATCTACCACCTGCGGACCTCTGTCAAACGTAAATTCCCGAACCTGGTAAAAAAAAAAAAAAAATGCATTAAACGTTCGACTACTATATTACATTAACAATCGATTCATAACAATGTAAATTCCGGAACCCTAAGTCATACGGAAGCCCGCAGTAACGCCAACTCAAGCAACTCCTGCTCGATACGGCACCGCTATTTTCTATCAGTGAATCCAAAACGGTGACATGCAAGTGACTCTTTATTGCAGTGAGTTTTACTGGAATTGGAGAAAGTTTTTAATTTCATTCACTTACATTTACGTCCTGTAGGTCATGGCACCCAAACGAAGAGGAACAGTCATGACCGCAGAAGAGAAAGTGATATGTATCTGATTAAACGAAGCGGGTTACAAAGTACCAAACATTTAGGAGACACTTGGAGTCAGAAAGACTTAAATCTGCGAGACTTTGAAAAACAAGAAAGCGATTCTTGCTCAGTCCGATTTAAGCAATTTCCATGCTCAGAGTGAATTGCTTGCGGCTCGACGGACAGTCGAGTAAATGAACGTTTTCCGGAATGGTTTGACTGTTATCGTGCTAAAAACTTACCGCAAAATGGACCACTAATAAGAGAGGAAGCGAGTCCCATAGCGCTAACTATGAGCATCGAAGACTTCAAAGTATCCCGTGGCTGGCTTCAAAAATTCGGTGAACGACATCTGCTGAGCAATGCTGTCATGTCATGATTGAGAGGAGGTAAAGTTAAAGACAGTGAGTGAGTTGAAAGAAGAGCCACCAGGTCTCATATTCGTCTCATTTTGTAGCAAATAGTCCTAACTTTGTTCTATTTTGTATATATTTTTTTATATACCTGTACTGTATGCTGCAGTTTTTGTGTTATAAACAGTTTTTGGGCAATATATTGTTGCACTTTGTTGCTTGTGTTGTCAGACATATATGTTGTGAACATATAAGTTGTATACTTCTTCCTACTCCTTTGAGCATATAACGGTGATGATGTTTGTTTTATTTACTTTTTATTTTTATTTTTCCTTTTGTAACTTTGCTTGCCTTTTGTCAATTGTTATTGTATTGTATGTTCAATAAACAATTAACTAATTAACTAATACTTGGATGTTCATGCAGGACATATATATGTAAGACATATTAAAAAATGTGTCAATGCGTTTGATCTGTTGATGTTTGATATGGACTGTCAACAGGTGCAAATTTGTATATGTACCGTTTCTTGTGCTGACCCGGCCCACCTGTCAAATTTTAGGGATCAATGTGGCCCCCAAGCCAAAAAGTTTGCCCCACCCCTGTGCTAGAGAATAAGTTCTCTCTCCCTCGTGAACAAAAGTCATCACTCCAAGCGCTGCGGTCCGTTCAATGTACATCAGCAACAGCAGAATCGCTTATAAACATCACCATCCCACATTCCAAAAACATGCACAGTAGGTTAACTGATTACTGAATTGTCCTTAGGTGTGATTGTGAGTTTGAATGGTTGTTTGTCAGTGTGTGCTCTCGCTGGCAACCAGTTCAGGTTGTACCCCGCCTACTGCTCGAAGTCAGCCAGGATAGGGGCCAGCATGCCAACGACCCTTGTGAGGATCAATAAGAATCGCTGAAAAACTAGCATCAATTGGTGTTGAGTCAAGTTGTTAGCTTTCAGCTAACTCTGGACTGGTCTGTTAGCTTCTGCATAACTTCAACAGTGACACTTTACATCGACGGACCCACCGGTGGAAGTGGCTTTTCGACAACAAAAGGGTTTTAAAACTTTTCAATGTCCTGAACTGCACGGTCGTAATGTCTTTTGAGAATGAAAGGTTTTTAAAATTATTTGCCATTGGTATAATAGAAATTTTATCGATCAAATGTACTGTCGGTATTGGTTACTTGCCATTAGTATCGGTATTGGTATCGGTCTGAAAAAAAGTGACAGTTGGTGCAAATGTGATCCAATAAGCCAGACGATAAATTGCTGTATTGAGTAGGCTAAGGGCGGCTCTGTGGGCCAGTGGTTAGCGCGTTGACCTCACAGTGCAAAGGTCATGGGATCGATCCTGGCTCCGGCCTTCCTGTGTGGAGTTTGCATGTTCTACCCGTGCCTGCGTGGGTTTTCTCCGAGTACTCCGGTTTCCTCCCACATTCCAAAAACACACATGATAGGCTGATTGAACACTCTAAATTGTCCCTCTGTGTGAGTGTGAGCGCGGATGGTTATTTGTCTCTGTGTGTCCTGCGATTGGCTGGCAACCGGTTCAGGGTGTCCCCCGCCTGCTGCCCAAAGACAGCTGGGATAGGCTCCGGCATGCCCCGTGACCCTTGTGAGGATAAGCGGTTCAGGAACTGGATGAATGGATGAGTAGGCTGACACTAATTCTGCGTTTTGAGGCTTTACGTTGCAAGATGGACTTCTAATTTCCAACTCTTTTTCACCTTTTTTCTTTCCAGGTATCATCAGTCTACTGAGCAACATTGTCGTTCTTCTAATGTTTGTTAAGTTTAAGGAGCTCCGCACTGCTACCAATTTTATCATCATCAACTTGGCCTTTACTGACATTGGGGTAGCAGGCATTGGCTACCCTATGTCAGCTGCCTCCGATATCCACGGAAACTGGAAATTTGGCTCCACTGGTTGTCAGGTGGGTGCCATCCATGTACTTTCAAGAGGACAGACAAGATGCTGGTGGCATGAGTTCTTTGAAATCTTCCAAACAATCCAAAACCCAAAAAAAAAAAAAAAATGCGTCTACTGCACCCTTTGCACATTTCTCAAATCTTGTGAGATAAATACAGTTGAGAAAGTTAGAGCAAGCAGTGTATATTACTATTTTATTATTTATTCTACTTGTGTTTATTCTAGTGTCTAGTTTTAACTAATTGTGAGTTGCCTGAGATTTTAGATTTTCTCCTCTCTCCTTGTTCCACGATGATAGGCTATTAGGACATATGATACTAATCCAAAGTGAAACGTACAGCTGAGGAAAACCTATTCATTCCACTTCATTGTAAGATAGAACTTCTCAATAATTTTCTGTTACCCCCACCTCCCTCCGCCCAGGACGAAGAAACATTTTGTGATTCTCAACTCTCTGCCGTGACCAAAAATATAATTTGTTTATGTCACAGTCATTCTCAAATAATAGGGGGTGTAGTGGGATGCCAGGGACTCTGAGGAACATGCATTTTTTTTGCCAAAGAAAATAGAATAAAGTGTAATTGCACATCCACGACAGCAGTTGGCAGTGGCGTCCTCATTGTCAGAGAGTGCGCAGAGAGTACTATATTAGCCCTGTGGTGTAGGGTTTTTTTTTTTTTTTGCACCGAGCAGGCTATATGAAGTGCAGTTAACAAAGGCTCAGGAGACAACATGTTTTTTTTTTTTTTTAACAGGGATGACAAAGAAAGGCGGAGAAAGACAAAGATCATGAGACAAAAGAGAGTGACCCGAAAGACCAGTCAAGGAAATATGACAAAGCTTATGTAGTGCTTGGCTTCAGTGTGACTACAGTGGGACATGGATGAGGAAAGACCGGTGTTGACTGTGTCAAAAAATGCTGGCTGCTGACAGCATGAAGCCAAATAAATCAAGCCGCCACTTCAAGACATGACACCTCAATCATGCTGATAAGCCGCTAGAAAAGTTGTACATTGCAAAACGTGCTCATCGAAGCCATCAATACTGACTTCCTCATTTTGATTTTAAAAAATTAATAAATCAGCACTAATTGTTTTATTCGTTTTTGTTTTGTAGACTATAGTGTTTTATATATTGTGCTCCTAAGTTAATGTTGCTGAGCTGAATTTGAATTTATTATTTCGAGATTTTATTTAATTTTAGTTTTCAGAATGAAATGGTGCAATAAATTGGTCAAAAATGTTTACAGTTTAAACAAGCATTTTTTTTTTTTTTTACATTTCAGTTAAAAAGAAGAGTCGTGAATTGTTTTCTTCTTGTTAGTGGGGGCGTAACAGAAAATAATTGAGAAGCACTGGTCTATGAGACAGTTAGACGTACACCTGAATAACATTTTATCCTGATTAATGTTCTTTACAGAAAACTAACAAGAAGGATTTACGACAAATAACTGAAACATTGTCTGTCACAACAAAGTTCAAGTGTGTGTGTGTGTGTGTGTGTGTGTATATATGTATATATATATGTACATACACACGCGCACACACTGTAGTGGATGTGCAATTAATTACACTTTGTTTTTTTCCATCCAACTTTTACTATTTTTTTCCATCCATCTATTCTCAACACCGCTTATCCTGAACAGGGTTTGATGGGGGTGCTGGAGCCGAGCTCAGCTGACTTCGGGCGAGAGGCACACTACACCCTGAACTGTTCGCCAGTCAGATGCAGGGCACATATAGAGACAAACAATCATTCACACACACGCACGCACGCACGCACACACACACACACACACACACACACACACACACACACACACACACACACACACACACACACACACACGCACGCACGCACACTGATCCCAAGATGCCTGCACACAAGTCAGGGGTGTGTACCACGACATCATCAGTAACTCCATTTAAAAAAAAAAAAAAAAAATTTAAAATAATGTTACCTGGGGGTCACACGTGGCCTCCCTGGCATGGTCTATTGAGGACTGTTATCAGGGCATAATGTCAGACTGCTCCAATTGTTTTTGATTCCAGATTTATGCAGCTCTCAACATCTTCTTTGGCATGGCTAGCATTGGCCTGTTGACTGTGGTGGCCATAGACCGATACCTCACAATTTGCAGGCCTGACATAGGTATCGAATCATATTGTATTCTGCATTTACGGCGTGTGCAGTGAACAACTTTTAACCCACTCGAATATGTGTTGCCAATAATATGTAGAAATAGACACAATAATGTTTACACTGTGCAGTACTTTCCGTGCACATGTGCTTGTCCTTTGTCTCTTCAGGGCAGAAAATGACAGTGCGTTCATACAATCTTCTGATTCTGGCAGCATGGCTTAATGCTTTGTTCTGGTCCACCATGCCTATCGTGGGCTGGGCTGGCTATGCCCCAGACCCAACTGGAGCTACATGCACCATTAACTGGCGGCAGAATGACGCGTGAGTTGTCAAGACTGCTTGAACTCAAAATCATTGTTATTCTCTCCCTAAAGTACATGTGCAAATATTGTTACTTGGTTTAAAAAGTACATACGTACAAATAATTGTGTAATCCTGGTTCCATGGAGTTAAATTCTGAAATTCGATGTATATGATACCCTGAAACTGGGCCTAAGGTAATGTGAAATGTACATTAAGACCTTAAATCAATTTCTGAAATCAATACAAAATAAGAATAAAGACCTCCACAGCCCACTGTAAGTTGGGGTGTAACTAAAATACACTGAGAAAAATCACGTCGGCACTGGGAGAACAAGCAAACTCCACACAGGAAATCTGTAGCTGGATTGCAGAATCAGTATCATATTTATTTTACTAGTATGTTCAAACAAACAGGGAATTTGTCTTTGGTAGTTGAATATGCTTTAGTATTACAATCTAGCCTCCATAACAAAATATACATTTAGGACATAAACACACAAGTACAAAGTCATTAGGCAATATAAAGTGACATAGTACTTGTGCAAAAGATCCAGAGTCATAAAGCAAAGTAAAGTGTCCCGATATGTGCTAATACTGATTTAACAGTCGTGCAATGATGCAGAGTCATCATGCAATATAAGTGATCAGTAGTGGGTTAGAACTGATCAATAACGGTTTTGCAAATGATTCAGTGTGGCAAAGCTACACCAACAGATATCACTTCAGAGGTAGGAAGCTACAGCAATGACTACGCTAATAATGTTACCACAGATATTTGCAAAATTGGTGTTACGATAAAGTGTTACGATAAAATTATAAGTCAAACACTTACAAAGTTAATGGTGAGGGGAAAGAAACTATTGGAATGGCTCCTGGTTTTAGTGTGCATTGTTAATTAGTGCCAATCAAAGAGAAGGAGCCGGAAAAGGTGATGTCCATTGTGGGGTGAGTCTAAGAGAATTGTGCCTGGACTTGTCTTCGGTCTTGCAATGTGCAAGTCCTCAAGAGTAATTGGGCAGATAATGAAGAGCCTCTTGTTAGTCCTACCTGTCCATTACAGTCCGATTTTGTAGCAACACCAAACCAGACACTGGATGAACACAGGACTGATTCACTGACTGGAGAGAATTGCTTCAACAGCCACTGTGGCAGGCCGTGCTTCCTTAGCAGCCACAGGATGTATATCTTCTGCTGGGGTGAGATCCGAAAATACAGAAAACTAAATAGCAAGAGTCCAAACACGTGTAACCCAAATCAGTGAGTACCACTACAACAAAAATACTTACTACACAGGAATCAAAACAGACAAAAATGACTATGAACATGAACAAGAAGGTCTTGAAAATATCACTTGAGGCAGTAACGTGTTACGAGGACTACGTCTGTTTTATAATTATTTGTGATGATGAAACTCTACTTTGTTCTTTGGACCAGTAAAAGCAATGCTAGGTTCGATTCACGGGAACCAAGGATGTCAACCCTGAGAGGCAGAGGCAGAAGAAACAAGACAACATTCATAAAAAACAAGGAGAATTTTACATTAAACAAATACATGACAAGATAATTATTATCACACAAAATACAGTGAAAATAAATAAATGCAACTGAACCTAAATTTCCTATTTCTACCTCCTTCAAAGCAAAATAATTGTGTGATCACCTCTCAACACCGGTGTGGGGTTTTTTTTCAATTGTAAATCTAACTAACAAACACTTAGTGTCCCTATCAATTCTTGTCTTCACACTTAATTCCTTTAAACATTACCAAATTCACTAAACAGTCAAAAACAACTTTGTTGACTCTGGTTCACTCGCCATCCTCCTCCTGCTTGACCTCAGTGCAGCCTTTGACACCATCTCTCACTCCATCCTCCTCGACAGACTCTCCTCCATTGGCATCACCAGCACCCCCCTCTCCTGGTTCCGCTCCTATCTTGATGACCGCACCCAGTTTATCCAGCTCAAATGTTTTAGATCTCAGCCCTTTCCCCTCACTTCAGGTGTTCCTCAGGTTTCTGTCCTTGGCCCCTTGCTTCTTCTAATCTATCTCCTCCCCCTTGGTAATATCTTCAGGAAACATCAAATTCACTTTCACTGCTACGCGGATGACACCCAGCTCTACATCTCTACCAAACCAAATACCATACTTCCACCATCCTCCCTAACCAACTGTCTGCAGGAATTAAAATCTTGGTTCACCTCAAACTTCCTCAAACCGAATAGCAATAAAACTGAACTCCTCCTCATTGGCACCAAATCCACCCTAAACAAAATAAACAATTTCTCCATTCCCTTTGACAGCTCCTCCATCTCCCCCTCCCCTCAGGTCAAGTGTCTGGGTGTCATCCTTGACAGCACCCTCTCCTTCACCTCACATATCAACCACATCACTCGTTCTGCATATTATCATCTTAGAAACATTCACCGGCTCCGCTCTTCTCTCACCCCTCACTCCACTGCTATACTTATTCAAACCCTCGCGACTCGATTACTGTAATTCCCTCCTGCTCGGTCTCCCTCAAAAAACCGTCCATAAGCTTCAGCTGGGCCAAAATTCAGCCGCCCGCATTATCACGCTCACACCATCCATAAACCATATTACACCTGTCCTCCAACATCTCCACTGGCTCCCCATTTTACACTGCATTCAATATAAAATCCTGCTCCTTACATTCAAAGCCATCCATAACCGTGCCCCTCCATACCAATCTGACCTCATCCATATTCCTACACCTGTCCGCTCTCTTCGTTCTTCCTCCTCTCTCCTCCTTACTGTCCCCCCTGCTCGCCTCGTCACCATGGGAAACAGAGCCTTCAGTCGCTCTGCTCCTCAGCTCTGGAACACACTCCCCGCTGACCTTTGTAAGATAAGATAAGATTAGAAAACCTTTATTAGTCTCCTAATGGAGAAATTCCCATGAGTTCCTAGAAAGGCGCCCACAAATAAAATGTATGATTATTATTATTATTATGATATCGAGTTTGTATTGGTTGAGGAATTCAAGGAACCACTTGCTGAAGAGGAAGTTTCCCAAAAGCCACATGATAGTGTTTCTGACACTGGTTCAGAGGAAGAATCAGAGTCCGCACTGGGGACAGAAGCAAGTAAAGAGCAAGGAGCCAAATTTGGAAACAGACTCGCGACAAAGCCTTCAGGCCACATCGGATGTTAGCATGTCTGAGGAACGTCCAAGACCTGTGCCTGCACCGAGGGAGGTAAGAAAAGTGACTGTTTGTGTAGGTGTACCCAGTTCTGCCCTACGCAAAAGTCAGAGGAAAACTGCAGGGAAACACAAGAATACGTTCAATCTCCGTGTCAGCGTGCAATGCCATCTCGTTAAATCCAGACGTATTCTCCCAGATTTTAGCAGGAGTGGTCCGCTATACCACAACATCAACTAGATGAGGGGTAGAGTGATAAGTCACCGAGGACGTTGACTTGTAGCAGGGGAGAATGTAACCAGGTGAACCATACTTGTAGTGAGGGCTGCCTTGTTCGCACTGTCTCTTTAAAAGTAATGCTAGACAAAAACACACGGGAACATATAGCGTGAGTGAGAATTAGACCACGAAGTGAAGGGAGGATGACATGCCCGTGAAGGAGGATAGTCGCTGAACTGTGCATGCCGCTCATCCCAACTTGAAAAACCGATGATCGTCATTGTGACCCAGGTGATGTTTAGGTAATTGGTAACTATTTTACCATGAAACATGTTAGGGGTTGTATTCAGCTGGACGGTTGATTATTTAAATATTTGTTGAGTAAGAGATCGTGGTTTGGGAAATTGAATGCTTCCGCTGGTGGGACATGTGAACAGCTGTACAGTGGAAGTGTTCTAAACCGTGACAAGATGTAAATATGTTTTTTTTTTAACTGTGGAATTACATGAACTGTGTTATGTGTGCCTTAGAGGGGAGATTATTTGGGTTTTCTGCATGTCTTGTGTGCACCCAACACACTGGAACGGCGCAACGAGTAAGGGTGTCCGCCTTTCAAAACATTGGTTGGAAATAATGTATTTTTATTTCTGTTTTCCTATCAAGCAAGCCACTGCTGTTGTTTATTATTGTGTAATTTTCTTTAATCTGTTAGATCATTTTCTTTGAACTCTTAGATCCCTTTTTTTTGAACTCTTAAAATTCAGTTAAAACATCTCAGTCTTTCATCTTAACGATATACAATTTTTTTATTGTTCAGTCGGGAATAAAGCCCACGTAAAAAATATTCAGCCCAGTCTTTCCAAAGACCTGGCTACATATATATCCTCGCGACCACCACTGTGCCCCTTTGTACATACTTTCTGAATTTAGGGGACCATGGTGGCTAATTCCATCATTGTCCTCGATCAGAAACTCCGCAAAAGACCTGGCCTAAATGTGCCGTGAGCACATCAGCGTCGACAATGAAGTAACTACAGTAATTAACATCAGGTGTTACTGCCAATATGTTCCATTAAGCAGTTTCGTTATTGGTGTTCTGATGCCATCTAGTGGCGATTGTTGGCCGGAACCATTTATCGCGGATAAAGGTCCACCCGACCCTAGTTGCCGTTGCACGTTATTGGAGCACGTTAAAAGACACGTTTTTGTAAGTTCAATGTAGCCATTTTGTAAGAAGACGAGAGTGCCGAGAACCTACCGTATGAGGCAAGTCGACGACGGGCAGGATTTCGGCCGAAGTTTAGCCCCTTATGGGTGTGAGCCCACGAGGTTTGTGTGTATTTATGTTAAATCAATTGTCTTCGTAGTTTTGTCTTTATTTGGTACGTAATGCCACTTGTTTGTATGTTTCATGTTCGTGGGACCAGTTCTCACGGGTTGCCAGGAATAAACCCTGTATTTTTGTCTGGACTTCGTGTCGTCATTCATGCCGCATCCTGAGGGCACTACAGTGAGAACTCTCCCGCTCCGACGCATGGTTAGACTACAAGGACGATGCCAGCGCGCGAGAGAAGGACTACCATCGTGACTCCATTTTGTGTGACGAAACAAAGCACGGAAAATCCACGTTCACGATG